AATAATAATCACCAAAACCCCGCTGCCTCCGACTTCAGAACCGATAAGTAATTCTCTCGCTGTGTTGTCGTTTGTTGCCTGGCTGTGGGATAAATCAAGGTTTATTGGCAGCTTAACATGTGTCTTAATTTTTGTACTCTGAGGGAGTGTAGTTGATGTATATTTCAAAAAAAATCATAGAATCATAGAATAGTTCGGGTTGGAAGAGACCGTTTCTACAACCTTCTAGTCCAAGCCCCCTGCTATGGGCAGGGACAACTTTCACTACATCAGGTTGCTCAGAGCCCTGCTCAACCTGACCTTGAACGCTTCCAATGACTGGGCATCCACAGCTTCTCTGGGAAACCTGTTCCAGTGTCTCACCACCCTCATCATAAAAAATGTCTTCCTTATGCCCAGTCTAAACCTACCCTCTTTCAGTTTAAAACAGTTGCCCCTTGTCCTGTAACTACAGGTCTTGGTAAAGAGTCTCTCTCTGTCTTTCTTATAAGCCCCCTTTAAGTATTGAAAGGCCGCAGTAAGGTCCCTCTGGAGCCTTCTCTTCTCCCCGCTGAACAACCCCAACTCTCTCGGCCTCGCTTCACAGGGGAGGCGTTCTAGCCCTGTGGTCATTTTTGTGGCCTTCCCCTGGACCCGCTCCAACAGGTCCATGTCTTTCTTCTACTGGGGGCCCCAGAGCTGGATGTAGTACTCCAGGTGGGGTCTCGTGAGAGTAGAGTGGGTCCTGTACTGAGCTCTCTGTTTAGGAGGGAGAGTGCGCAACATGTTTCTGGTTCTCGGTTCCATTCCTTTGATTATCGGGAACATTAGGGGTTTTTTCATCCTCGTGCCTCTGCCCAGCTTAGACAGGTACTGAAGTAGATACGGGAAGTCATGCTTTTGCTGCTGCTGGAGCTCGTCCTTCAGCTGCAGAGAATGCACTCAGCGGGACCCGTGGTGTGCAAGGGGAGTGGGGCTTGGTTTTGTGGCACTGCCGTTTCAGGCGCTGTTTGGGCGCAGCTGTGCAGACTTTCTTCCCTTTCTTCTCTTGCGTTGCCCCTGTGGCCACTGCTGCCACTCACCTGCAGTTCTGGCTGTAGGAAGCTTCGGAGGTTTTCCCTGGCAGGGTCTGGGGAAAGGCTTCAGACCACGGGTTGCCCCTTGCTATGGACCAAAGGTCTGGGCAGCGGGGTTCTCCCAGTATGCCCATGAGCGTTGTTCTCCAGCTTACCCTGCACTGCTGGGAAGCAAGCTGATGTTTTGGCAGCAATGTGAGACCCCCTAACATCCCAGTGAATCTGCCTCTCTGACCATACACCATTTGTTCCTGTATTTCCTTCTGAACATGAAGGAGTTTGCCTGTCCTCATCCAAATTTGAATTAATTTTATTTGAAGGATTGTCCTTGTGGACTGTGTGGGCAGAAGCAGCATATCTTTCTTCCTCCTGTCCTCCAGCATTATGACTGCACTCTTATTGCAATGCTTCTCCATCTATCACATCTCTTACATCATGCTGTAACAGCACAAACAGATGGCTCTGAGGCTGGCCTCGGAGTATCGTGAACAATTTATAAAATGCTTATCAAAAACTACTTTAAAGGAACCTGCACTAGGGCCCATAATGAAAACTGGCTTGGTCATGTGAGAAGGAAAAAGCAGAAAAGTGAATTTGGGATTCCTAGCATGCCAAAATAGCCTGTGGGTGAGTAGTCTTAAAGGCCTGGGAGTTAGGTATGGAGCACAGATTGCTCCAGTAACTGCTCAATTTCAGTAGAATCAAATGACTCTGAGCATAATCAATGCTGGTATGAACATGCCACATGAAGTAGCACAGGGAACCGTGGTGTATCCATAGAATATACCATGACAGCAATACAGAATTAAGCGAAGAGTTCACTGATCAACTCAATGAATTCCCCTGGATTTAGGACCGCTGAAATCTTCTCTGCAGTATAAAGTTTTAAGACTACAGACAGCTGTTCCATCCAACAATGATCATTGATAAAGTGTTTACATCAATGTCTCCCATGCAAGATGTAGGAGATTTTTTTAATAATTCCTCTGTTATGCAAAAGCCATTAATAAAACAGTTTCTGCTTTATTCCCATCTAAATAACCTATGCTTAGGTTTGTAAAATTTCACTGCTTATCAGAAAATGAAATGAAATTAATTTACCTACTTAAAATAAAATACTGTGTTTTCTCCCTGTTGGTATAACACCTGTATCAGGAATACCGACAAAGACAAGTACTACAGTTATTCCTTCAGCTACCTCACTGCAAACAACTAGAACGACGGAAATACAAAGTACAGTGTCTACCATGGGCACCACTATTCAACAGTCAACACTGTCAGCATCAACAAGTCCAGTGACAGTCACCACCTCTGGAGTCACTGAAACAGGATCGACCACCAAAACCACCACTTCGGGCCCCACCTCCTCCGGACCCACTCCCCAGAGCACCACAATAGTAACGGAAACATCTAGCCATGAGACCACTACCACCACGACTGGGAGCCCTCCGACAGGATCACTTGTCAGCACCGTCAGCACCACAAGCTCAGGAACACCCTCCCCAGAGCCTACAGCCAGCACTACTGTATCAACACCATCAACATCAACAAGCCCAATGACAGTCACCACCTCTGGAGTCACTGAAACAGGATCGACCACCAAAACCACCACTTCGGGCCCCACCTCCTCCGGACCCACTCCCCAGAGCACCACAATAGTAACGGAAACATCTAGCCATGAGACCACTACCACCACGACTGGGAGCCCTCCGACAGGATCACTTGTCAGCACCGTCAGCACCACAAGCTCAGGAACACCCTCCCCAGAGCCTACAGCCAGCACTACTGTATCAACACCATCAACATCAACAAGCCCAATGACAGTCACCACCTCTGGAGTCACTGAAACAGGATCGACCACCAAAACCACCACTTCGGGCCCCACCTCCTCCGGACCCACTCCCCAGAGC